GTTGTTTAGGTGTGAATTGCCAATCTACATATGTGTGTGTGTCTTATCTCGCTCAGCCTTATACCCTGAATCTCTCACTCTCTGCTCTTTGAATTGAGAAAGCTCCTCGGATGAGGAGCGAACGTCTTCTGTTACAAATAAAGTCCAGTTGTTTTTGTATTGAACGCTTTTTGAATTCATCATGTCCTGGATGACAGAGAATCTTCACCAGCATACTGAGACAATGCAGTCCTTATTAAACAAAATATGATTGTTATATATTTCTTTGTGTATATTGAGTCCAGTTTTTTTGAAAAGGCATTCCAGTTGGCGTCCCTTGGCTTTGAGAAGACGCAGGTTGAACGTAAGCTATGGCGCTGAGCGAGAAAATGAAACAGGTCTGTGTTTGAGTGGAGCAAATGTGTTAAGAAGGTTTTGGAGTTGACGTTATAGTGGGAAGTGAGTTCATCAGGGGTTGAAGAGCAGTGAATAGATGGAAGGTTATATATAGCAGATGAGAAAATGCCAGGATCAATATCATTAATTTTCCTAAATGTAATGTCACGAGGAGTACAGGTTTTCAAAGCTATTATATTTACATCAAAAGAAATAAACATATGATCAGAAGTGGGAAACAGATAGGCTTTGCAGTGAGTAGGGGTGACACCAGAACAACAAACCAAATCCAGAATATGACCTTTAGAAGGAGTGGGGAATTTGATGTATTGCTGGAGTCCAAAACTATCCAGACAGGAAGTCAAATCTCTTGTGAGAAGGTTATTGTCATTGTCCATGTGAATATTAAAGTCACCAACAATAATCATATTGGGAGAGAGAACAGAAAGATGAGTGAGAAGAGCAGCAAAGTCATACAAAAATCCTTATTTGGCTTCGGTGGTCGATAAACAGTACATAAAATAGTAGGAGTAGATCCAGGGAGCTGAGATGCAGTGTATTCAAATGAGTGGAAGAAGGGGCAGAGACAGGGAGGACTTTCCAGTGCTTCCGATGAATTATCGCGAGACCTCCGCCCCTCCCCAAGTTGTGGGGGTAACAGATGTAAACAAACTCTGGTGGAGTTGACTCGTTGAGGAAAACAAAGTCATTGGGCTGTTGTCATGTTTCAGTCAAGGAAAGAAAGTCTAACTTACAGTCGAGAAGGAGATCCTGGATGAGATGTCCCTTTCCAGTGAGAGAGCAGACGTTTAATAGACCGAAGTTTATGTTGGAGTTGCGATGCTTGATGATACTTTTAGCCCACCTAACACACTGCGATTGACAACCCAGTCAGAATTACAGGGAAGACAACGAGTTTTGGACCAGAAGGATTCTATGGACTCAGTGTCATTGGTATTGAAGTTTCGCCGGGACCCTCGGTGGATGTACTTGCAGCGGGGATTAAAAGCAATGTCCGGATGGAGGTGAAGCACCACAGTTGAAGGGACAGCCAGGTGGAAGCGGAGTCGCAGAAGCTCTGTAGCAATGTATTGAAGGAGAGCAGTCACCGCATCGTGGACAATGAATAAAACAGCCCAGTTGAGGACAGACCCCACACACACCCTGTGGATCCACATCATATCATAATCTGTCCGTTGCCAAACAGTGCAGAAACTCTTTACAAACTTTACAAAAATCACAAGAATAGCAGCCGGTGAACAGCGGCAGCCAGACGCGCCAGCGTTCATTCAATCTCATATATCATAGATATCATACTTGTTCAAGAATCTAATAAAGAATTATTTCACAACAAATTTATCTTTATTCTTTATCTTGCAGCAGTCCCAGCTGAATGCATGTAGCTCAAAAACTTCATTTTGTTTTCTCTAACTAGACAAGATGGTATGGTATAAAGTTTATTCATTTTAAAAATACAAAACAGTTTCATAACTATATAAAAAAAATACAAGAGATTTAAAATGAAAGGCAGCAGAAAGAAGAATTTTTTTTATTATATCTGTCCCTTTTTTCAAACAATTAATTCAATCATAATAATCTTCAAGTAACAGAACAAAACAATCAACTCTTTCAAATTTTTCTAATTCTAATTCTTTGGAGTAAGCTGTTGGGGAAAGAATCAGTTTTGTTGCGCGTTTCCTTGACTGATGAAGCCTTCTGGATCGAAGGTGAAACGTTTCAGCACAAAAAAAGAAACTTTCCAGGGGGGAATCAACCACTTCATTAAACTGCTGTAAAAATAAAAATACAATTTTTTTTTTCAGCTGCTCCCTTCTTCAGGGGTTGCCACAGCAAACTAACTCGCACAAAGACAGCAATTGTTTTTACGCCAGATGCCTTTCCTGACGCAACCACATACAACCGAGCTACTATCTCTGTGTGGAGCAGAGAGCTGCCATCTAGGGAACCCGGGAGGAGCAGCTGGTGGGGTTGGAAGCCTTGCTTAAGGGCTCATGGTGGGGCAACTGAGGGTGGAGGCAGGTGCGTGTTTCACCTTTCACACCCACATTTTGATGTTGTCGGTCCAGGGAGTTGAAGTGGCAACCTTCCAATCACAGGCTCAACTTCTCTAACCTGTGTGCTGCCAGTCCCCCTTTACTTAGCTGATTAAAAATACTAGTTTTAAAATATTTTTTGCTACAAAAATTCTAGTCAATGTGTGGGAGCTGTCAGCCTGAAATAAAAGCATCTATTTTAATTTTTTAATGCTTTAAGAGTTTTGGTTTAAAACCTCTATGCTACAGTTTTTTTTTTTATTGACAAAATATTTATTTTACGGTAATTTTAAAAAAGGGTTATTTTCCTCCATTATTCTGCCCTCTGGGTCAACATCCACATCCTCCTCTGTTCTCCAGAGCTCAGAACTGATGCTTGGTTCTATTGGCCCAGACAGAGGGATTCTGGACCCCGTCCTCTGCTGAGTCAGACCTCCTAGTTGGGGGTCTTCTAAAACAAATCATGATCATCCTCTTCATCAACAAAGTCCTCTCTGTCTGACTCAGACTCTTGATTTTTTTCCTTCATGATCCTCTCCTCTGTCTGAGAGGTTCTGACTCAGCGGTTCCGTAGTCCTCACGTTCAAAAATTGTCTCATTGTTTTCACTCAAACACACTAAAACTGACTAAATACTAAACACACAAAACTACCCCTAACTATAAAACCCAAACACGCTAAATATCACAAATCTCTCAAACTTCATGACTCACTCCCGCTCTCATGGTCTAAATTGCGCCAGACTCCATTTAACTTCCACTTCTTTTTCTTCTTCCTCCTGTAGATTTTTTGGAGCTTGACAAATAACTTTGAACCTCTGTCAAAAAAGAGCGGGGAGTCTATTTATCTGTTCGGCAGGGGTAGAATGTGAAAGTGGAGGGTGATGGGCGGTGTTTTGTCCTTGAGACTGCCTGTCTTTGCCGCAGCCTCTTGCTCAAATGCACTTCAGATATGGTTTTCATTAAAAGATGTGGTGAGGATTATTTATCTTAACTCTGGTTTTATTTGCCTTATCAATACAATTTAAAAACCATTGCGTATTTAAAGTCTATACTTTTGACACAAATTAAAATGGAGTGGCTGATGGCTGCGTCTTTCCTGCTAGAGAAACTGAAACCAGTCATGTGACTATCGCGCCAGCGCATCGATTGGCGGGAAAAATAAATAAATTGTCAGAATAGGCAGCGCTGGACACTTGAGTAGGCGCAGAAATCACCACCTGCCACCAGGCATACAGGATTCTTCAACCTGCCTGCACGCACCCAACACACACACTTTTTGCCCCACTCCCCTCAGGAAGGAGGTTGAGGAGCATTAAGTGTAGAACCACTAGACTGAGGAACAGCTTCTACCCTGAGGCTGTTAGACTCATGAATCTCTAACCAGGAGAATCACTGTGAAAAATCACATCATGTTGCTGCTGATCTGTTTCATGTTGCTGCTGATCTATTTCATGTTGCTGCTGATCTGTTTCATGTTGCTGTGTTCATGTGTGTGCGGCTGTGGCTGAGTGGTTAGAGCAGTCGTCCTCCAATGCAAGAGTTGGGGATTCGAATCCACCAGCAGTCACATGCTGAAGTGTCCCTGGGCAAGACACTGAACCCCTCATTGAATGTGATAAAGCTCTGATTAGTCTCATTAAAATGAATTGTTCAATTATCTTTGTAGGGATCTAGTATAGAGCTGTATGAATGGGTAAATGAGGACACAGATTGTTGTAAAGACCTTTGAGTGTCTTGATCAGATAGAAAGGCGCTGTATAAGTACAGTCCATTTACATGCGTGCTCATCTGCTCACAAGGACTCATGTTCGTGCTGCTGTTTGACGTATTGTTTTTATGCTATTAGTGCTTAGTGTACAGTATATTTAGCTGATGTTTTTCTTAGTTCATATCTTAGATGTTATTACTGTTTTTCTTTTACATTTTATTGTTGGATGTAACTGGGACCATGTGTACATAATCTTGTTCCACCACATGTTCCACATGAGATGCGAATGACAAATAAACCTCTATGACTGACATAGCTGTTCTGTGTTGTGTCAAATTCAACAGCACCTGCAACCACAAAGGAGGCTCCTTTCTCAGGCAGCTTGCAGGAAGCCTGGTAGACAATATTACAGGTTCTTTCAAATGTTAAAGTTGAGCACCACCTAGTGGGGCCATTTAAAAATTGAAAGTGGAGGAATAGAGGTAAAAAATATAAAACTAAATTAAAAGGAATGCATTACTTTATTACATAATAAAGATTAGATCAAAAATGCATTTATACAGGGTTTTAAAGGGGCCTGTTTCATCTAAAGGACCACTAGAGAGCAGTAAAGTGACTGGGACTTTATGGGTCTGTTTGAAATTATCCTGACAGTCAAAAAAAGGTCACAGGATTTTTAGAATTTGTCAGGAATGGTCTGCTTTTTTGGCAACAGTTTAAAAAAAAATAATAATAATAAAATAAATGTGTGGCTTACCCCCCCCCCAAAAAAACATCTGAGGGTTAAAACTCTGGCTTTTGCGAAAACATCTTGCATTATCCCATAATAGTCTACAGTATATTCCCGTTTTGTGTCAGAAACCTACTTGGGGCTGTTGTGCTGGGTGGCTTGAGGCTGAAGAAGGACTGGAGAGGAGCTTCCATCTGTTTGAGAGGAACTCCAATGGATACTTCGCCGTTCCATCCTTAGTTGTTTCCGGATTTCTTTGACCTCGGCCTTAAGAAGGCGCTTCTCTGCCTTCAGCCTCTGCTTCTCTGCCTTCCTGAAACTGTGGTCGCCTCGTCTGTACAGTCTGCACAACAGACAAAAACTGTAATATATGCAATCAACAGTGAAACAAAAGCACAAGGTTTCGGGCAGGGATTCTCAACTGGTGGGTCACCCAAAAGAGGGTCATAGACTGATTTCAAAGGGTTGAGGGCCTTTATCTGGACCGAAAAAGAAATCTGATCTTATGATCATTGGCATCAGAAGCATTTGTAATGTGGGGGGAACACACTAGTTGGGGGTTTGGGCATCCTCCCCCCAAAAAAATTTGAATAAAGTAGTTGCCATTTCCTTCATTCTGGTGATGTTTAACAGGTTGTTAAACATCACCATTTACCTAGAGATGTAAACACATGATTCAATAACTATTTTGGAGACAAATTCCTCGTTCAACTAGTACATATACATCATGTTTTTAAACTCAGTCCTAGGGCTAAAATAATAAAATAATTGTGACACAATTTATCACAAATAATGACTTTAGGAGTGCACTTGACTTTTATTTTGTTTAATTTTGATTTAGTTTTATTTGTAACACAACATGCCGTTCATGTGTTAGTTTCATGTGTTACAAACTGAATTACAACATTTTAATCCCACTTTTGATTTTGAAGCCTCTAGAGGTTTGTGAACTAACTGAACGTATTGTACAGATTAAATACTTTTTGCTTGTTCTTTAAGTTTTATTTGACCACTGTGTCTGGAGCCAGTTTTGTTGATCAAACTCGACATTAGTTGATGTCCACACTACTGGTTGGACATGTGGAGGATCAGAGGTTAACTAACGTTGGAGGTTCGTGATAAAACATATTGTGTCACTTCCTGTTTTCTCTGCCGGTAGCTCGAGTAATTTGTTTGATCGAGTAGTCTTCAGTTTTTTGGATTTATCTGTCTTTTGCATAACAAAAAAGGTTGAATCATGTCATCTGGACTTTGTTTTTTTGTTAAAAAGAAACGTTTCGCCCCTCATCCAAGAGGCTTCGTCAGTCTGAGGCCTAGCCATCTGGTATTACCCAGAAGCCACCCTGACTCTTGTGTTCCAAGCCTGCCTCAGATACCCCTGAAGTCTGGCCTTTTCACTAATGGTTTCAAAAACACAAAGTTTGTTTTCTCAGTCATCCAGGTATATAACAACAAAAAAGGTTGAATCATGTCATCTGGACTTCGTTTTTTT